AATTCTGAGATTAAAAAGTCCGAATTCTGAGATTAAAGTATGAATTCTGAGATTAAAAAGTCCGACTTCTGAGTTTAAAGTCCAAATTCTGACTTTTTTCTAATTTTGTGAAAAAAGTCAGAATTCTGAGATTAAAGTCCGAATTCTGACTTTTTCCTAATTTTGCGAAAAAAGTCAAACTCCTGGGATTAAAGTCAGAATTCTGAGATTAAAAAGTCCAAATTCTGAGATTAAAGCCATAATTCTGACTTCTTCCTAATTCTAAGATTTTATCCTAATTCTGAGAAAAGTCAGAATCATTATTTTTTGTGGCCCTAATCCGCTTTCATAATTTCAGACTAAGAACTATATTATGATCATTTTTATAACTCTGGCYGCCATCTTGAATTTATTGGCTACAACGTAGCCAGTTGTAGAGATTTGTGTATCCAGTGGTTGTTCCTGAAAGTTTGGATAAAATTCATTCAGTCGTTCATGAGATATTTGGCCAACAGACAGACATGAATAAAAACACYTCATTGACAAAAAGTTGGGTTAAAGTCATTAAAAATGGCTGTYAAGTTGATGTCTCTGTGTCTTACTGGGAAACAAATTTAAAAAGTTTTGGTGAAAAAAAAAATCAACTTTTCTTTTAAACATCAGATGTTTTTTTCAGGTCTTATAATAAACATGGCCTCTGCCTCCAGACAGACGATCTCACAGTAAAAAAAGAAAAAATATTTTCCAAAGTTCGTGTGAAGTTTCTGATCTTCAGAGAAAAACAAAGAGGTTGATTTCCGTCATAGTTTGAGTCTTTTCACTGTGGAAATCCACCCCCTCTTGTTTTCTGAGACGCAGGAAGCGAGTGAGGAGAAACTCCAAGCTGATCTTCAGAAGGCAGCTGGTTAATTTGTCCACCTCACACCGCTCCCCGTCACTTCCAGTGGAAACACATCATTAAACCACATGCATGAAAAGAAGCAAAGATTACAACAACTAAAAGCCTTTTCATGGGCGCCTCATTATTTTTTTAAAAGCCAGAAGAAAGTTTTCATCAGGAGCTTCAGCGACCACACGTCCAGCAGGAAACCTGGTGGCTCCGGCTCTTCTTCGTTTGTTTTCAACAAAATGATCATCACGTGTGTGCAGTTTAACTCCAGCAACACATTTAATTTATAAAACAAGGCAAAGCAGCAGTTTAGACTTTAACTGTTTGACAGACAAATTAAAGAAGGTTGTTTGTGATCAGGATTGTTATCCAGCCTCTGTTCTCTCTCACACACCCCCGTCCTCGTTATTTCTTTCTGTCTGAAACTCGTCACGTTTTCTTCTGGATAGATTATTAAAAAACAAATTTCACTGATGCASTTTTCTGCAAAGCTACAAAAACAACAAAGAGAATGTTTGATTTCTGCTGCAAACTGAAAAGTTTTGGGCTTAAAGTAAAAAAAAAATCAGAAAATAAAATAAGATTTAGTCTTTTACTTTGAAAGGTTTTGGGCTAAGTTCATCTTATATTTGAATTTTTGCCATTTTGGTCAAACATTTATACAGTAGGTCAGAATGACTCAGCTACAGGCTTCAAAATGAGCTGTTTTAGACATTTTTGTGTTTGCTAGGATCCGTTCTGCAGCCATCTTGAATTGGATTGACTCAAACAGTGAATCAGTTGTAGCTCAGTTGAATCATGAGATYTTTTGCTAACAGACKGAGTTYACTTCAACAGATCAGTTATCAAGTGTTTGCATTGATTTTCAGCCACTAATATATCTAATTTTGGCTCATTTTGTGAAAAACTGGCTGATGTATAGCTATTTTTTGTTTGCTAAGTTAGCTTAGCTGTGGCGGCTATCTTGAATTTACTTTTCATCGTTATTTTCAAAATAAAATCCAGGTAGAGTGTTTAGATCTAAGCGATCGGGCTGTGATGTGTGTCTCTGTTGTGTGTCCTCTGTCTCTGCAGACAACACCATGGTGAAGGAGAGTTTGCCCAGCTGGGTCCACCAGGACTCTGACGAGGGGCTCGTCCACGTGAACGTCGGGGGTCTGAAGAGGAGCCTCTGTTCCAGCACGCTGAGGAAATTCCCAGATACCCGACTGGGAAAACTGCTGGCGTGTGACTCGGAGGAAGACATCCTGCAGGTGAGAGGTGATTTATGGGATGAAATGTCCCAGTTGACAGAAACCTGACC